TGCCACGGTTGCAAATATTTTAGTTTCAGAGTATCTGGGTGTCCTGTAGAACTGTTTTTAGCATAAGAAGAAGAAACTAAATTGTAGATTGAAAAAAAATAGGTTTTTGTAAGAGTTAGCTTGAGTACATTCCTTTTACAGTTCGTAACATCCTTCACAGTCATCTCACATTGCCCCTGGTTATGTGCAGGGAGAATCTTGACTGACCAAATCTATAAAGCAGCCAAATGATACAGGAATTGAGCAAGAGGATTTTTTTTTTAATCTGCATGAAGTTGGTAAACATTTCAGCTCAGCACATGGGACACCCTGTTCTTTTGTGTTAACATAAATCAACAATTACAGATGAATTAAAATAGAAGAGCTTCTCACACCTGAAAGCTCTAGCTCCGAGGAAGCTGAAATACAAAACTTTGTACTAAAAGGTGTTTGACAGCATAAACCAAAATCATATTAAGCCAAACAGAATAGATTGTTTCCACAAAAATGTATGCACCAGATTTATGATGGTAAAAAGTGAAAACAGAATCCTATTTCGTCATTCAAATGGTAAGAGTGAGCCTTTTCAGAAACAAATACATGTGAAATATTTTACAGAGAACAAAAAAGCATCAAGATGTATTACAAAGAACCATTAAATGATTGCAGAGAGGCAGTAATCTGTATAGTATTTTTTAGAGCCAGCTATTATCACTTGCTTTCAAATCCTGGCAATATCAATATTCTCCAGTTTGATTGGTGACTGGTCTGAACTTATCCTACTTGCTTTTAGGAACAAAGACAAGAGAATGGCTACCTCTATTCATCTATTATTGTTTAAATAGCTGTCACAGCTTCCAGGATGTCTGTTTCCATGTTATCTGGTGAAAGAATAAAATAGAATGCAAACAAACCAAATACAGTGAAAAATGTTCGTTGTACTTGGCCCAAACCAGCTGCTGTTTGCAGATAAAATCTGGTTCAAACAAAACCAGGTGAATTTTGGAAATTGAGAAACAATGGATGGAGTGGATGTAACATTTACAAATATTTTAAAGATATGTGTCGCATGGAGACTTGTTTATTAGAATGATTTAGTTCATGTGTCAAGGCACATATTCATCTCTGCTCAGATACTGTGGAGGCCTGGGTAACAGCTTGTCTGATCTGTGTTTATTTGTTAATTTATAACATCGCAGTTCCCAGCACAAGCCAAGGCAGGCCCTGACGCTTCTTTGTTCTGCCTTGTTCTTTCTTCCCCCCCTGCCCTTCTCTTTACACTGTTGTGCTCCCAACTCCAACAATGGAGTTGTAGATTGGCCCTCTTTCCCCTCTTGCCCTGTCTCGTCTTCGAATGTTTCCTTTGATGCGTTCAGAGTGAAAATGCCAGATCTCTGTCTCCCAGCAAGGGGTCATCGTTTTTGCTAGTAGGTTAAGAGGAACAGTAGTAGTTCCTCTGCAACAGTTTAAAAGATGTTAAGTTAACAATTATTCGGAAACGAAGATATACCACCGTGTTGCAAAAAGAGGGCTTTGCAGGAATGGAATATTTTTAAATGCCTTAATTGCAAGAGGTCATATCATTTTGCTACTAAGATATGTGACTATGTTTTAATTGGCTGTGTTTACAATGTGGTTTTTCTTAAAAATGCATTTTTTTCAAGATTCCCTCAGTCATCGCTTATCTCACATCCACAAATATCCATGCTTCCTGTGTATAATATGTTTCAAACATACTTACACTCAAAGTTTATTTCACATGGGACATCAAGAAAACAAACTCACATTAGTCTGACTTTTTTTTCTGAGTTGACGTTTCATTAAAATAAGTTCATAGTAAGTTCAGCTCCCTAGTCTTACCCTTCAGTGTAAATTTGGTTTTGTTATTTATTATAACATAAGAGTTTGGATGTTATTTTGAGTTCATACCGTTCTGCATAACTTTTTTGAAGTTACTTTGCCTATTGCAAGACCATGACACGCATTATTAGGAAAGTGTTTGAAAACTTCACAACATGTTTTGAGCATGCACAAAATACAGCAAACATAGCAAGTATTTAATGTTAAAGTAGTAATACAATAAAAAAATGAATCCCTTGCTTAAGTTCTGTGACAAGACCTGTGTTAGGAACTTTCTGTATCTCAACAGTTGCATGGAAGAGCATACTTTTAAAGTGAATGATGGCCTATGAAATTTTTAAGTGGGTCAGTTTTATCTAGTATTAAAATACTTTGACAATTTGAAACCTAAAATATTAGTAAGTTTTTAAGTTGTCTTAGAAAGTATGAGAGGTCATTGGTCCATTTCTTTGACAAACCTAGAGGCAAATGATGTCTTTTTTTAGTTTGTTTTCTCATTTATATGAATCAACTCCACCATGCATACTAGTGATTAGACTCTTTCTACTGATATAAAGAAGTCTTTAGCCAAAAAACTCAGTAACATAACAAAGAAGCGGTTTTGTAATATTTAATTTTTTTTTTGATGGTGGGTAGGAATCATTTGGGGAAGCCGTATTTGCAGCAGATGAAAATATTGTCTATCCAGTTTTGTTTAAGTTTTGGGTTGTTTCTTTTGGTTAATGAAAGCATAACAATTCTGACAGCAGTTTGGAAAAAAACATTTAGTAATGATTTCTCACACTAGAGTAGGGTTTGAGAAGATGAACTAGCAGGATGATCTGAAAACATTAATCTAATTTGCAATACCCAGGAATACCTAATTTATTTTTTCTAATGAAGTGGTGAATATTTCTATAGTATTTTAAAAGTTGGGAAGAAAAGAAACAATTCACATCTAGGGCCAAATTTTAGTATGTTACTCCAAAATCCATGTTGCTGTGAATTAGCATGATGACAGAGGATACATCCATGGAGTACGTTTTTCAGAACCTGCTTTGAATCTCGGTAAGGTAGATAAGAAGTAGTTCGGTAATCTACAGCCAGTTTTTCTCAGCACTTTGCGACAAGACTGGAAAACTTAACTGTAGCTGAAAAAACCTTTTATGGTCTGAAGCTTTCCTTGGTCAATGTCAATTCATTTCATAAAGCTTATCTTGGTAAGCTTTTGAATTATGACTGTATGAAAAAGCAGTAACTGTAGCACAAATTGTGAAAATAGGGGACGTGTAATGGTGTCTTACTCCTTGTGTAAGCTACCCTCAGGCTGAGCCACAGAACAGCTTTCGTGGTAGGACTGGTCTCACCAAAAGTAGGTCTCTGCATCTGACCTAGTCAATTTAGGCTCATCTTACAGTCAACAGACACTTCTAGAAAAAAATTTGTCTCCTCCTCCAGTAGATGCCTGTGATAGTTCAGATGGATTAGTACCTTAAACTGGTGTCTGCTTATCTCCACTGGCTGTGGAAGAACTAAGTGGGACCAGCCCAGAAGCAAATGTCCAAGTGCCTATTTGGATATTTCTGTGATGGAACGTAGTGGGTGAGACTTTTACTCGAGCACAGTAAATACTGGCCAGCACAACAGAGCTGGTGAGGAGATTGGGCAAGAAATCTGCACCTGAACATGGTTGGTGGAGATTAATTCCTTCTGGAGTAATGGTGGATAGGGACTGTCAAAATGAACTGGGACTTGGAGTTGTGGTTTTCCGGTCCTGGGGTCGTCAAAGCCTACACTCTAAACCTTTGTTGCAGCAAATTTCAGTTTTCCTAGTGCTAGACTATGTCCACTTTGGAAAATACCGTACTCCAGTCAAAGAGAGAGCTAGCTCCTTTTAGGCAACTAGGATCAGAACTTTCGTGTAATACAATTTGTAATGTACATAATGGAATAAATAAAGAAATACAACTATTATTGAAACTATAATTTTAAAAAGTGCAGAAAGAAAGAGAAATTAGAATACCCCAAAATGTAGATTTCTTATAATGATCAAAGCCCAAATAGAAAAGAACAAGTCTGACAAGCTTCTGTAGTCAGATAGCTGTGCAGAGATCTGCATAATACCAAGACTACGTTCTGATGTCCTTGTATTGCACTGAGATACATCAATGTGTGTCAGTTAATGACTGAGCCCTTGGTAAGAACAGTATGTATAGATAGATGTATCTATGTATAGATAGTTTTCCTTTTGAAGAATTCAGATTAACATCTGGTGCAAAGAAATTGACCTAAATTTCTGTATCGTATCAACAGTAGTCTAAAAATATTTCAAAAAGTAAAAAAAGTGAAGAGGATATTGAAGTTTCTATTAATTGGGATTTTTTTTAATTTTTTTCCCTGCACTTACTTGATAATCCGTTCACAGATTATCTGTGAAACTTTTAATCTTAGAAGTCTTCAAGCTGTGGGAGTTTTTTCCTGTTGTGATGTCAGAACTGATCAGATCTGATTGCTACAAAGATCCCACTAAGGAGTTCAGCACTAATTGGTAGAAGATGTCCGTGCTTAAAAAAATTAGGCCATTGATTGTAACCATGCTGTTAATTTCATGTATTGTTCAGAGCATGTTTCAATTGTGGAAATCAGGTGTACTTTGTTGTTTAAACATGCATTGAGGGGCTGTAGTTTTTCTCGGTGTTGCAGAATCTTCTAAGCTATAAGTGAAACCATTAAGAGCGGGAAGGGTTAATTGTATGGGAAGCCTCATATTCAAATACTTCTCGTATACAAAATATATGCCATGCTAGAAAATATTCTATTGTCAATCCAAATAGAACACCAACTAAAATGAGATAATTGGGAAGGTGCCCATAAAGTCAGTCTGAATATATTATCACAAGTATATGTGAGATAATATTTGTTTTAAAAAGATTCTATGGCACTGTAAACTCAGTCTCATTAGAGACTGCATTTAAAAGGCTTATAAAGTTACTCATTAATGTTATCTTGTTGTATCTCCACAGCTTTTTCATTAAAGAAAATTCAGCAGAAAGCATTTTCTCCTGATAGCAGGAACCAATTTGCAATAAATGTTCTGGAAACCACTAGGGAAGCCATTACTGAGGTCTAATAAAAACAGACAAGCGTAACTTGTTCTATATTTTTGTTTCAATCACATACAGATGAGACCCCGCTCTCCACACCAACCGCAAGAGACAGCCTTGACAAACTTTCTCTAACTGGGCATGGGCAACCACTACCTCCGGGTTTTCCATCTCCTTTTCTATTCCCTGATGGATTGTCCTCCATAGAGACCCTTCTGACTAACATCCAGGTAGGCCTTTCTGTAGATCAGCTTAAAGGATGGAGAGGAGCCAGTTGCAGATTTGTTGAAGTTAATACAACCATTCTAGCTTAATCAGTTCGTAAGATTATTTGGATCAGCTAATTTACTGAAAGTTCCTAATAATTTAGGTATTAAAGGAACCACAGCAAATAAATGAATTTAGAAGCTGTCAGATACAGTACATAAAAATACAGAGTGTATGTGAAACCACAGCAGAGAATTCAATGAAAATTACATTGGTGTGTTTAACAACATTTGTCTCAAATGCTCTTTTTATTACAGGCTAATGAAATGTATCTTACTGTTTAACTTTATTTCATTTACTAAGCAGAGAAACATTTCTTTAATAAACAGTTATTTTAAATTGCTGGAGTGCCAAGGTGGAAGTGATATTTAAAGCTATTTGAAATGTGTCTCCCATAAAAGCATTCACAAAAAGCACTTCTTTTATAAATAAGCTCATTTCACTTGAAGTACTGTCTTCAAAGAGCAGACTTCAAAGGGTATTACCAAATTTTCTGCAGATTTCCTATTCAGTAGTAGTGATGTCTATTGTGTGTACAGTACTGCCTGATTCAAATATTGCTTAAGGTTTCATTGAGGAGGTTGTGGAGTCCCCTTCTCTGGAGATATTCAAGACCCGCCTGGACAAGGTCCTGTGCAGCCTGCTGTAGGTGACCCTGCTTCAGCAG